TTCTGTCATTCATTCGAGTATGGCTTTCCGCATGTATTGATTAATTCATTTCGTCTTAGCCGACTCGACGCGACGTTGCAACGGATCATTCAGTGTCAATTACAGTTCATTTGAATGCAATTATTGCCAAAGCGTCGACGATTCACCTTCATGGACGTTCAACGTTCGTCGATCTGAATAATGGTAGTGGATTAAAAGTTCATAATATAAGAAGGTGTTCAAAAAGATCGATCGATAATTGCCTCGAGCTTTTATAAGTTATCTTTCAAATTATAAAATATATTAAATACTATAGTAAAATGCCGAACAGCTCCAAAATCCAGTTGAAATCCATATCTTACGTTGAATATTAATTGCATTAAGGTATACGATTTTATAATTATCTATAAGACATTTTTCGCAAACGATATTTTTATCACGCAAACCAACAACACCACACGACAGCGGAAACATTCCCTTATCTATTGATTATATTGAGTTATGTGATCGATTTGTCATTTGCGAGAAATCAGTAATGGTACCGCAAAATGTCCTTCATAACGGTTTTGGAAGGAAGCATCTCTGAATCACATCCACCCAGTAAAAAAAGTAGCTCATGAAGATTTCACTATTATTTTCATTCACTGAGTATACTATTCGTATAATTTTGTCTAGGTTGCGTAATGCAATGCTTGTTCAATTTCTGAATGATGGCGAACAAACTAGAATGCCAACAAAAGCCTAGCCCTCCATCAACTAATTCTGAACATTCCACTGCCATATATGGAACGTTACACAACTAATCCACTGTTCGTACTGGTGGCAAATAAGACACGCAAATCAGTTCATTTGCCAACCCCTCTGGAAATAAATCCTACGAAGCAGTTTTGAAACAGTGAAAGTGCAGTGACTTATTGTTGCAATTAGCATTATGGAGCCTTCCCGTGAGCGGTTTCACTTTCAGACGAGAAGGGTACGTACCTACGATCATTTCGAAGCCCGGGCTTGACTCTATAGATGACATGAACACCAGGCGCCGGGATACATGTTGCATGCATGCACATTTTAATCTCGTTAATTTCGTTAAAGGACTCTGAAATCATAATTCAATCTCTTTATGCACATTCCGTTCTCATTTGTCCATGCCGGTGACTGAGGGCTTTACTCATTATTTGCACCGTAAGCTTTTATTTATCACGAATGGTACCGCAGCGCGAAGGAAGGTGTGGGAGGTTGTTATTCGATGGGTTGTATTTTTCTTCCATTTTTTCCATTTTTGCCATCGAACGATTTCGGTTTTATATCATTTTGGGCTTATTAAGAAGCGTACTCTGTAAATCTTACTTCCTGGGAACTTACAGACTTTATTAAATAATTTATTTTTTTCACTTTATGAACAATATTATATAAAATAATAAATATTGGGCTTAAGGCGATTTTTAAGTAAATTAGATGAGTTAGCCAGGCCCAAGTCACTAGAGGTTTTTTTTCCCCAATTGAACATTTCTATGACTTGCTCAAATGAGAAGAATTTGAGTTTGAAGCGCCCTATCAGAACAAACCATCAGACGGAAATCTAAATATGTACTGGAGTGCATTGCATACCAAAAAACTTTTCCGAAGGCATCCCCAACTAACATTTTCAGTTTTATAAGCCAACTTTTTCAGCGTTGTGCTGTAAAGTAGCTGAAAAACAAGCTGCAGATACAGCTACAAGCAGAAGCTCGCAAAATAGTTTTGGAGAGCGTTTACTCAACTTTTTCACAACCATTATCCAATTTGTCAGTCGAACTGAATAACAACAGCCAATAATCGCTAATGTCATTTTATTCACATAATAATCAACTTTAAACTTGTAGCTGCAAAACAAAGCTAATAAAGTGAATATGTTACTCATTTGATGGGTTCTACACAACCAACCACTTTGCCGAATAAAATAAACATCAAAAGTGTTTTTTCAACAACTAAACAACCTGTACTCAGCTTATAAACAGTATTAGCGCTACTTTGGAAGCATTTTTACAGTCAGCTAGGTTTATTTTTATAAGTGTGCAGTTTTACAGCTTTTACTCTTCTCCTTTACAAAGCTGAAGTAAGTAGTCGAGGAAAGTGATTAATGTGCACTATTATAAAGCCTATGTTCAGCGATTTTGTTGTAGAAAGGCATGTAGATTTTTTACATCAGTTCAAAGTGTTGGCATAGCACAGTTGGTATTGTCAAGGTTTGTCAATGCGGTCGTCTCGGTTTCTTTTGCAGATTCCTCTAGTGCAGGGTAAATAATTTGGTGGTGTGCTTATAACTAATTTCAATTAATTTGATTTCACAGCAAAATAAACTCAATAAAATCCTCCATCAAAAAATAGCGTAAACAATATGTTACCCGGCTTCAAGAGAAAGCTGTGTAGTGATTATTAGATAACCGGGAAAAATTTGAGTAAGCGTCTTTTAAGTTCACACACAACTAAACAGCAGGATAACAGCTGTATGAAGCTTTAATGGATATGCAATAAGAGCTTTTCCCAACCGTCCCAACAGTCATAAGTAGCTGACTAAGTTCGCCAGTTTTGCTTGTTGAGTAAAGGTTGCCTCATTTCGTATATACAGCTTGAGGCTGAATAAATGAAAGAGTAAAGCGTTTACATTGTGAAAATTGTTAGTTGGACACGACTGGACAATTGCTTACCGACCCCACTGACCAGCTGAAACGCTGGTTTGAGCACTTCGAACAACTTCTTCAAGTTTCGACGGCCAACCAGCCATCAACATCTCGGCATGATCCGCCTAGGGTGCGGCGCATCACTCGCGTCAATTCCGAGGCCCCATCACTGCAGGAGATTGAAGCAGCTATCCGAAGCATGAAATCCAACAAGGCTCCAGGGATCGATCGCATATCAGCAGAGATACTCAAAGCTGACCCCATGCTATCCGCACAAATGTTGCATCAACTATTCTGTAATATCTGGGACACCGCGACTTTTCCGGCCGACTGGATGCAGGGCATCTTAGTGAAGGTCCCAAAGAAGGGGGATCTGACTGTGTGCGACAATTGGCGAGGCATCATTGTTCTCAAAGTTCTGTGCAAAGTTATCCTGAATCGGATACAGGAGAAGATCGACGCGACTCTCCGACGGCAGCAGGCAGGATTCCGTGCCGGAAGATCTTGTGTGGACCATTATTGTCACGCTCCGCATCATCCTGGAGCAGGTCAATGAATTCCAAGAGTCCCTTTATTTGGTATTCATTGACTACGAAAAAGCTTTCGACCGTCTCAATCACGAGAATCTGTGGGGCGCTCTGAGACGCAAGGAAGTGCCGAATAAAATCGTCAACCTCATCGAAGCGCAGTATGAGGCTTTCACGTGCAGAGTTCTGCATAACGGAGCCTTGTCCGACCCTATCCGGGTAGTCGCTGGTGTGAGACAAGGATGTATACTATCACCGCTACCCGCTACTGTTTCTCATCGTAATCGACGAGATCATGGTAGGTGCAATTGACCGTGTACCGAACCGTGGGCTGCTTTGGCAGCCTATCACCATGGAGCATCTCAACCGCTTCGATTTGGCTGATGATGTTGCTCTACTAGCACAACGGCGCTCTGATATGCAGAGTAAGCTCAATGACCTAGCCGAACGCTCCTCTGCGGCGGGTCTCACCATCAACGTCAACAAGACCAAATCGTTGGATATCAACACGGGCAACCCTTCCAACTTTACGGTAGCGGGGCGTCGGACGGCGGGACCAAGAGCGACATAGGTGTACGAATCAAGAAGGCTAGGGCTGCCTTTGTGAGTTTACGAAACGTATGGAGATCCAACCAGATAAGTCAACGCACCAAAATCCGAATTTTCAACTCGAACGTGAAATCTGTGTTGTTATACGCCAGCGAGACGTGGTGTGTATCAGCGGAGAACACTCCAAAGGCTGCAGGTCTTCATCAACCGATGCCTGCGGTATATAATTCGTGCCTGGTGGCCTCACAACTGGATCTCGAATGCCGAGCTCCATCGTCGATGTCATCAGAAGCCGATAGCAACAGAAATTCGAGAGCGAAAGTGGAGGTGGGTCGGCCACACACTTCGACGGGGCGGAAACGAAATCTGCAAGCAAGCGCTGGATTGGAATCCAGCAGGACATCGCAGCAGAGGCAGACCCAGGGGCTCATGGCGGCGGAGCCTCAATAAGGAAATTAAGCAAGTCGATAGAAATCTGACCTGGGCCCAGGTCAAGGCAAAAGCGAGCAGCCGCCTAGGATGGAAGTCTTTCACGTTGGCCCTTTGCACCGCTGGTGGTGCACAGGACCCTTAAGTAAAAGTAAAGTTGGTCTAATTTTCATCTTACCCACGTTTTACATATTTTTTTTTCCAACGGATTTGAATTAATTGTTGTTTCTACTACTGATTACGGTTCAATTGGGGTATGATAAACAATCACAATTTGGTTAATTTTATCAACAATTTATTCTGCTTTTTGATTCCAGATTCTTTCTACGAGTTTCAATTCCACCCAAATGCATTGAAATGCCATTGAATTTTCTTGGTCATACGAATGAATGCAGGGAAATGGATTCACTAGGAGTGCCTATTTTGTCTTGAGAACAATGGGTATACATTTTCATACTATGTGCTCTTAAAGGCTTTGTGTTGTTACTTTTGAACTAAAGTATCGGAACAAACATATTATTGATTTGTACCCGGTGAAATCATTGATAAAATGTAGTTTATATTCGATATAGCGGAAATAGGTGATTTCTATGAAGTATATTTTACGAATGAAAATGTTAAACACCCTGCGCCCATTGTAAGAAACTGTTTGAAATATTGAGATACCCACTCCCCCTTTTACCGTACATAATTTGTGGATGATCCCTCATGCAAATTATTAAAATGTTGCTCTATTCCCTGAAAAGTACTGCGACGGTCTATAACCGTTATTCCATTTAACGACTGCTTTGATTTGTCACTCACTAATTTTATGGTTTCACGTTTTTCATTATTTTTTATTTTTATTTTCATCTACTCCGCAGTTAACAGTTACGAGATGCCTGTTTTATCCAGATGGTTCATCGGCAACAGTAATGGTAAGCAAAATTAATTGACTTCATTTGTACAGAGGGCAAGCATAGTGCGAAGTGCAGCTTAGGTGTCGCACTTTCCTTTATAGGTACTACTAAAAATCATTGACGTAACTAAGGGGGGGCTAAATTATTTTTTACGAATTTCTCAATCAGGCAATTAGTGAACAATTTCGATGTATAAAAAAAAATGTAATTGTAGTAACAATTCAAGAGGGGAATACATATCTTAATCCTCAGGGGGCTTCAGCCCCTCCTAGCCCCCTTCTCTCGTAGTTATGTCATTGCTAAAAATATAATGGAGAAATGATCGGTTAGTGTTTAATTTATGTTTAAACGTTTATCACGTGTGTGTACCAATTTGATCGAAAATTAGAGATTTCTCACACGATTATTAGGTCATAATGTCACATAGTTTTTCTGAAGAGGAGTTTTATACAAGACCCATTGCTGTACATTTATGCCTATCGTTAAATTTAACCTTTTAACAAATTAGATGATGAACTTACTGAAGAGACAAAACTAAGCCTGAATAGAAGCATCCTTGACATTCAGCTTCAGTGTGCCGTACAATATGCAATTTTTTATGACTAGTAATGGGAGGCACGCATAGCATGGCCAACGAAAATGTTGAATTCAAAGATGCTTGACTCACTAATAAATACCTACTACTCTCACAGCACCGCAGGTACCACAGCAGGATCGAAGACTTATAATCATCTTTTTATCTCCGCTGAGAGAGTATATGCAAATTGCTGGTCTTGGTACTGATTTAGACTTTAATGTCTTTCTCCCATTTATAGATTTCACTTTATTGTCAAATCTATAGGAACGGCAAATAAATTAAGCCAATAAATTGCGCCCCGATTTCGCTCACTGCCGTTCCCGGGAGACTATCTGGCCTTTGACGGTTTAGTTACTGCTTCATGCGGCGTATCGCGGACCAAGGTTTAATGGAGAATATCCACGCGGCTGAGCGTCAACGAAGAGATGCTTGGATCGTGGACTGAAAAGTATTGTGTTTACAGTAGCTCGGTTTATGGTTCGCTTTTATTGCGAGTTCCATATCCGACTCGTCCATATTCGATTGTAAATATTTGGTGGCAATTTCAACCTATATTCATAACTTTACACATTTGCATTATCAACAATAGGATTGAGATTCCTCCTTGAAGACTTAAAGCTGGTAAAGTTTTTCGGTCTTCGTGAGAGATAGTCAGATATCAATGGAGAAGGATTAATGCTCATTATTATCGGAAAAGTTTGAAGAACATGATTGAAGAGTTTTTCATGCACAGAATCTTTTTAATATCATCGGTTTATCAGAAATGAACTTATACATCTGGTAATCCTGGCCGCATGTTCTTTCAACTTCAATGAATAAGCTGCTCAAGGCACTACTTAGGAAGCGCTTAAGCGATCGGCTGCCGCAAAGCAGAGTGCAACCATCATGGTAAATCATCATGACCGAGCGGCATGTATTTATTGTGGCCAACAGGATAAGGTAAAATATAAATAAATAAATTGGTAGTAAAATCTGCAAATAAAATTCTGCAAATAAAATAAACATTCATCCCGTCTCAAGTAGGCAGACTCACTGTAGAGCGTGGTGAGGAGGACAATCTGATTCACATAAAAGAAACAAAAAGATCAGAAACATGTCTCCCGTTGTAGGGGAAAGAGAGAACTGCACGAACAGCGAGCCACTTCTTCTGTGGTATGCAAAACGGTTCCGTAGATTCTCTAGTCAGGTATGAACGTAATAAGCTTTGATTTTATCTGAGCGATTTTTGCCCAGCATGACCAGATTAAGCACGCCTTTGAACCACTTCGGTACTTGCAGTCCTAGAAGTACAAGGCGAAATGGGATGCATGAAGAAAAATTTACATCATCGGATCTAACGGCAGGTGTACTTATCCAATTAGAACGAAAGCGTTTAAAGCCCAAGACACCTTCGGGACAGGATCGTAATTGATTGGTTGCATTAATCATTCCTTTTCACACTATTGATGATGCTATCTTGTTTTTTCACTCTCTTCGTTGAGTCTACTTCTAATATCAATGATAGCCTTGGTAAGAATTGTTGGGCAAGCATCACATTCTTAAAGCGAACTAAATCATTTCTTGCACATAATAAGTGATTACTTGTTGCTTCACTATTTAACTGCGTAATCGATTTGGGGAATCCGTGAAAAATATATAGTTGTGGAAAATTGATTAATGCCGTGTTTTGATGGTTTTGTAAGAATTTGCTACATGTAGTATTGCGAAGAATCGGCATAGGGTGAGGACTGGGGATTATTAGCGTCCATGCACAGTTTCTGGTCTTAATATTTAAAACGACATGTGAAAAAAAAACTGAATTTATCCACCTATGGTGAGATCTGACCTTTCTTACGTATTGATTTCATGTGTCGAATGATAGTTTTTGGTCCTTGAAAGGAACTGTAAACTACTCAAGGTACACCCGGAACATGTCCACATGTGTCTAATGAGATCCTGGGCTTATAATATAGCCACCATTGCACTTGTTTTTGAATTAGCATGTGTTTTGAGGTGTCGCATGATAGGTTTTGGTCCATGTCAGAAACTGGCCACTTCCCCTGGAGCACCCGGAACATGTCCGGGTGCGGCCAATTTCATTCTAGACGAGCATCATGACTATTGATCATTTTTTTTTCGTTCTCATGTGATTTGAGAAGGCTTTAACATGATTAAAGTAGTTTCTAGACTCACGGCCCATATTCATCGGAAAATGTTCCAGCTATATCTCCGGAACCAATGACCGATTCCAAAAAATTACAAAAGCTTTCTGTGTGACCACTCAGCAAAAAAATATTAATATCACATCAAAGTGGATGCACTTCAATCGTTCCGAAAATATGGTGTAATTTACGCTGATTTTACTGCATTTGTTTATTGTTGTGGCCATAAAAATTACATGAGATTTTTGACAAGATTGAAGTGCATCCTTTTGGATGTAATATTAAAGTTTATTTTTTGCTGTACATATTATCTTTCATTTGGCGGTTTTTGCGTCCAATTCGGTCTCGTGGTTGCTTAGAACACGTGGCTCAATATTGTGTAACACACATACACACTAGACTGGTGCAAAAATTGGAATTTGCGCTCCACATTGCTCAAACGTCTTCAAATCGGGTCCTGATTAGCCTCCTAAAATTTGAACTCATTTGGTAAGAAACTGACTTGGCACAAACCATTTAAAGATTATGTGGAAGTTACTATGGAAAAACCAAACCGTTTGTTCATTGATTTCTAGCCTTTTACATATTGCACTGTTAAAAAGTTCTATAGCTAATCTTATGGGAAATTATCTCAGCTGTTGAAAATGTTGCGGAAGATTGTTTTTTATCCAAACATCAAATTAAATAGTTAAACATTATCTAAGAGATTTATAACCCCCCCCTCCCCCTGCGTAGACAATTGTCCATACAAAATTTTTAAAATTTGTATGGTCCGTGGATAATTGTCAACCCCCCCCCCCCCTAAACTGTCTACGTAGTTTATGGACAGCCCCTTTCAGTAAAATTTAGCAACCCAATTGTAAAAATGTACCGCTAAACATCTAATGAACGAGCATTGAAATTGTAAGAATTACCTTGAAATTGTAAGAATTACCTTGAAATTGTTAGAACCTTAAACTAATGAAAGTGATCCATAGAAAATCAAGTTTGCACTCTTAAAAATATAGGCATGATCCATAAATTAGACATATACTGTTCATATTTTGGACACTAGCTTTTTGATTTTGTTTTATAAACCTTGAAAAGATGTTCCATTACTACGTAGCTACTTAGATTTACTGACATACCTGTGTTTTGACGTTGGATAACGTCTTTCGGCAACATACGGGGGTACAAAATTGAAAACAGTCATTTTGGATGCGTTACGAAAAATTAAAAGATTTTGAACGATAATAACTCAACCGTCTCTCGATAGATATACGAGATAAGGGCATCAATCGATTGGAAATATTTCTAGCAATTTGCTGAATGTTTCAAAACTATTGATTTCATTTGGTAAACTATTGAAAACGGTTAAAAGTAAACCATTGTCTAAAGATGGTGAAAATCGATTGATTTTTTTATATTCTTATACTTTTTCCAACCGAGACATCAGATGCGAGTATCTGACACCTCTGATATTTTCTGTTCTACTATATAAGCGTCCAACAAGGTCGCCCGTTCCATCATCAGACCATTCTCTGCTTGATCGTCAAGCAGTTCAGTTCGGTGTTAGCTCGCTCTCTCGAGTTGTTTGAAAAGTTCATTGCGATAGTGTTCGCGTTCTCTCTTTCGCGGTTTGTCGTGCGTGTGTGTGTGCCCCGTAATGGGGAAGCATCGGTCGCGAAGCCCGGCGAAGGTCCAGAATCCCGGAGAAGGAAGCTCCGGTGTGCCTACCTCGAACAGGTTTGCTGTTCTCCCCATGGATGGGAATATCCAGCCAGCTGTGTTGGAAAAACGCAGTAAGAAGAGGAAGAAGAATCGAGGCCAGTCCGATGTCACTGCGACGAACAACAGCGATGTTGGAGATTTCGGTGACGCTGCCGAAACCGTGAATACTGCCGAAATGAGCACGGCAAAAGTGAAGCTACCTCCATTGGTAGTGAAAAATGCCCATCTTAATGTGCTCATTGCGGATCTAGCGACGCTGGGTGTTAAAGCCGAATACAAGTTGGGCAGAGTCGGCACTAAAGTGATGCTCCGTACCAAAACGGAGTTTGACGTGGTCGTCGCCCACCTGAGGACTTCCAAGGTGGAATTCTTTACCCACGACATTCCCGGTGAGAAGCCGTTCAAGGTCGTCATCAGGGGCCTACCAAACTTTGACCCGAAGTTTATCGAATCAGAAATCAGGGACCGGTACAAGCTGGCCCCAAGTGCCTTGTATCGAATGACAAGAAGAGACGAGAATGTGAAGGCGTATCCGGATAGCCTTTTCCTGGTACACTTCCAGAAGGGAACGGTGACGCTCAACGCACTGA